GTGTGTGTGTGTGTGTGTGTGTCTTCAAGTCTCACTTCTACAACAGAAGACATTCATCTGTCACACACTTCAGCTTAGAAAGTTCAGACAGCAATTTACTGAGTGTGTGTGTGTGTGTGTGTGTGTTTGTTTTCTGCTGAAGGTGCCAAAATTGGCCTTACAATGCACACACACACACACACTGTAGGGATTCTCAGGGGCGGAGTCACCTCGCGAGGACACGCCCACACCGAGGACACGCCCCGTTTGTTATCAGAGCGTTTATGTACTTGATATGATGGGTGCCATAATAATCTTCTGCTGAGATGTGATTTTAAATTTAATAAACTGCCAGCGAAATGGATTGTTCCTGTGATTTCTGTTCAACAGAAATTAATCTATAATCCACTTGGTTCGTATAATAATGATGCTGATGTTGATGATAATAATTTGAGTTTTCTTGTACAACTTGTGAGTAATAAACATAAAAAATAGAAAACATAATTTAGGCATATTTATTTATTTATTATTTTGAGATATTTAAGACATGTATTTCTTCTTAATAATGAGAAATACTTGTTTAATAAAAATAATTAATTAATTCATTCATTCATTTTAGGAACACACATGTATTTCCACATAAACGAATTAAACGTAATAATTTGTAATAAAAAAAAACTAATATTACCATATAGTAATTCAATGTTTTGGAGCATATCACGATTTAAAATGCATTTTTGAGACATTTCCCCCATGCAAAACCACGACTTGGACCTTATTATTAATGTAATGCTGTGTTTTCTTAAATTTACCATGATTATACAATGTTTTGCACCTTATCATAATTGAAATGCCAGGTTTTTAATTTATTTTTAATATTTTTTTACATTTACCATGATAATACATTATCTTGGACCCTATCGTAAAGGCACTGTGGTGTTTTCTAGCATTTACCATGATTATACCATGTTTTGTCCCATATCATAATAGTAATGCCATTGTTGTTGTTGTTGTTGTTTTTACTTTTGCCATGATAATACCATGTTTTGGACCTTATCATGATTGAAATGCCATGTTTTTGACATTTACCATGCATAATAGTATTACCAATGTATTACCAATATAATGTATTTCCATGTAAAATAATAAACGTAATCATTTGTAATAAAAAAAAAACGAATTTTAGCATGTTTGGCTCCATCTAGCGGTCACAGTCGCAAATTATTCTGATTCAGTTTGTCGCCAAAAATTCGTGTATATATATATATACAGTCTATGATATATATATACACATCCACCATATGTGTATATACTGTATGTATATATATATTAATTCAATTTGACGTTTGCAAACTTGGACAACGCCGGCTGCTTTACATTTGATCTACAGTCGCCACGTCCAATCACGTGCTGAGAAGCGCGATCCTGTACGAAGGCGACCAATCGGAAGCGTGATTTCAGAATCATTGGATGCGGTCGTCCAATAGGATACGAGGAGGGCGGGATCAGGTCAGATTAATGCGGTACAGTACGGTTTTTGTGTTGATGCGTTTCTTTCCACTGTTAATTATCAACTGGTTATTATCTATAATTATGTTTACACACTTGGGTTGTGTTTCAAAATTTTAATTCAGTGATCTAATGGATGTTGCCCGAGGCGATTTGGAGGTGAGTGAAAGTATTTGATCGTTAAAAAAAAAATCCGTAGTAACAGTGTTAATGTTTACATCTCGGTCATGTGATGTAAAATTGGAGAAAAAGTGCTGTTTCATTATATATATATATTTAATCAAATTCTACATATTATATGTTATTAATCATATTTCTCAGATATAAAGACTTGTCTCATTTTATGCTCTGTGTTTTGCACCATTTTCTCATGTATTTGGATAAGTGCTATGCTAATGCCACGTGATGGACATTTACCATGGTAACCGTGTTTTGGACGCCACCGTAATAAAATTACCATTATCATAATAATTAGGGCTGTACAATTAATCGAGTTTCTAATCGCGATTACAATTACGGTCATAATCGTTCAAAACGGTAATTAATCGAGTTTCTAATTGCGATTACAATTACGGCCATAATCGTTCAAAGCGGTAATTAATCGAGTTTCTAATCGCGATTACAATTACAGTCATAATCGTTCAAAGCGGTAATTAATCGAGTTTCTAATCGCGATTACAATTACGGCCATAATCGTTCAAAGCGGCAATTAATCATAATTAATCCACTCACATTATTCTGAGTGCTTAAGATGAGTTTTTTTCTTTCTACAGGTTATCTTAAGGGTTTTTAATTTCAGTTTGTTAGTTTAATTTAGTTTATTTTCATATAAAAATATGGCATGCGGTTGCTTCAGATAATGGTATAAACATCACTCAATGTAAACGGTGATAATCGTAATTAATATCGCAATTACAGTTTCAAGGGAATAATCGACAGTTTAGATTTTTTTGTCATAATCGTGCAGCTCTAATAATAATACAATGTTTTGGACCTTATCATGTTGGAAATGCTGTTTTTATTTTAAATATACAGAGGCAAAACCATGTCCTTTGTATTTCCCGTGTTACGGCCATAATCATTCAAAGCGGCAATTAATCATAATTAATCCACTCACATTATTCTGAGTGCTTAAGATTAGTTTTTTTCTTTCTACAGGTTATCTTAAGGGTTTTTAATTTCAGTTTGTTAGTTTAATTTAGTTTATTTTCATATAAAAATATGGCATGCGGTTGCTTCAGATAATGGTATAAACATCACTCAATGTAAACGGTGATAATCGTAATTAATATCGCAATTACAGTTTCAAGGGAATAATCGACAGTTTAGATTTTTTTGTCATAATCGTGCAGCTCTAATAATAATACAATGTTTTGGACCTTATCATGTTGGAAATGCTGTTTTTATTTTAAATATACAGAGGCAAAACCATGTCCTTTGTATTTCCCGTGATTATACCATGTTTTCGACCATATAATGATGGTAATACCATTTTTATTACACTTACCATGATTATACCATGTTTTGGACCATATTACAGTGGTAATGCTATGTTGTCATTTATCACGGTTATACCCCACTTAGGACATTAGGATGGAAATACCTTGTTTTTTTTACATTTTCCCTGGCAATGCCATTTTTTGGGACATTTACCATAGTAATTCAATGTTTTGGATCATATCACGATTTAAATGCCATGTTTTTTATATTTTTTGAGCATTTTTGAGACATTTACCCAGCCAATACCATGATTTGGACCTTATTATTAATGTAATGCTGTGTTTTCTTAAATTTACCATGGTAATACAATGTTTTGGACCCTATCATAAAGGCACTGCAGTGTTTTCTGGTAGCATTTTTGAGACATTTACCCAGGCAATACCATGATTTGGACCTTATTATTCATGTAATGCTGTGTTTTCTTAAATTTACCATGGTAATACAATGTTTTGGACCCTATCATAAAGGCACTGCAGTGTTTTCTGGCATTTACCATGTTTATACCATGTTTTGTTCCATATCATAATAGTAATGCCATTGTTTTTTTGTTTAGTTTTATACTTTTTCCATGATAATGCCATGTTTTTTCATGATTGAATTGCCATGTTTCTGACATTTACCATGGTAATATAATGTTTTTATTTGATTTTTTTTACATTGACTTTATTTTTACTTTATTATCCACATTGTGGAAAATTGTCTCTGGCGTCACAGTACATCAGCAACATGTTTACACATAAGAAAAACATGCAATATGCAATAATTTATGAGGAAAAAAACACATTACCAGCAAATTCTGAAGGAAAATGTCAGGACCGCAGTCAGAGAACTGAGTCTCCAGAGAAAGCGGGTCATGCAGCAAGACAACGACCCCAAACACACAAGTCCTTCTACCAAAGAACGGTTAAAGAAGGACAAAGTGAATGTTTCGTAACGGCTGAGTCAAAGTCTATATTGAATATCTATATTCTATCTATATTGAATTCGAATATCAATATTCGAATAAACACAAAATGCACAGATATTGGGCGAAGTAGTGTATTTTTAATAATTAATACTATATATCTTATTGAAATTTTGAAGTGTAGGCATAATCAGCCCTCACAGTTTATTCCAACCGATTGATGTTAGCATGTTGCTAAGCTAACGACAAAATATTTGAATTAACACATAATACACATATTTTGGTTGAAGTAGTGTATTTTTGAGTTAATACTATATTTTATTGCAATTTTGCAGTGTAATCAGCGCTGAGGGTTGATTCCAACTGACTGATGTTAGCATGTTGCTAAGCTAACAACGTTAATAAACACAAAATAGAATATCTATATTCTATCTATATTGAATTCGAATATCAATATTCGAATAAACACAAAATGCACAGATATTGGGCGAAGTAGTGTATTTTTAATAATTAATACTATATCTAATTGAAATTTTGAAGTGTAGGTATAATCAGCCCTCAACTGAGGGTTGATTCCAACTGACTGATGTTAGCATGTTGCTAAGCTAACGACAAAATATTCGAATAAACACAAAATACACATATTTTGGTTGAAGTAGTGTATTTTTAATAAGTTAATACTATATTTTATTGGAATTTTGCAGTGTAATCAGCGCTGAGGGTTGATTCCAACTGATGGATGTTAGCATGTTGCTAAGCTAACAACGTTAATAAACAAAAATACACAGATAATGGGTGAAGTATTGCATGTTTTAATGAGTTAATACGATATTCCATTAATTCTTTGCTGTATATTTATAATTAGCCCTCACAGCTCATTCCAACAAACCGATGTTAGCATGTTGCTAAGCTAACGACAAAATATTCGAATAAACACAAAATACACATATTTTGGTTGAAGTAGTGTATTTTTAATAAGTTAATACTATATTTTATTGGAATTTTGCAGTGTAATCAGCGCTGAGGGTTGATTCCAACTGATGGATGTTAGCATGTTGCTAAGCTAACAACGTTAATAAACAAAAATACACAGATAATGGGTGAAGTATTGCATGTTTTAATGAGTTAATACGATATTCCATTAATTCTTTGCTGTATATTTATAATTAGCCCTCACAGCTCATTCCAACAAACCGATGTTAGCATGTTGCTAAGCTAACGACAAAATATTCGAATAAACACAAAATACACATATTTTGGTTGAAGTAGTGTATTTTTAATAATTAATACTATATCTAATTGAAATTTTGAAGTGTAGGTATAATCAGCCCTCAACTGAGGGTTGATTCCAACTGACTGATGTTAGCATGTTGCTAAGCTAACAACGTTAATAAACACAAAATACACAGTTTTCATGTTAGTTTATTTTTAAATGAGTTAATACGATATTTCATTAACTTCACAGTATTTTTATAATCAGCCCTCAGGGTTGATTCTAACCAACTGATGTTAGCATATTGCTAAGCTAACAACATTAATAAACACAAAAATATGCAAATATTGTGCGAATTAGTTTAAAAGTTTTTAATTGGTTAGTGTTATATTTATTGATACTTTGCAGTATATTTATAATTAACCCACAAAGCTGATTCCAGTAGAGACTAATGTTAGCATGTTGCTAAGCTAGTGATTAGATACTCGCACATAACTATTAAACACTCACAAATATTGAGTGAAATAGTCCATTTTAATTAATTGAAACTATTTTATTATAGTTTTCATTGCTGAATAAACTATTAAAATGTAAATTTAACACTTCTCAAAGTTTTCACTTAGCTAAAACTAGCGCCTATGGCAATTGAAACGGAATACTAGCGTACTATTTGCGTATAATTAAAAAAAAATGTTTATCATTACATGCTGTTTTATTTCATTTCATACAGTAGTATGATATGTCACATGACCTCATTGTGTTGCATTTTTAATTTACTTTAATTTACTTCATTTACTTTGTTTTGGATTTTTATCCAATTTTCTGTAAACTTGTCTGACTTTTTGTTGAACACTAACGTTCTCTCACTGACGTTCCCCATCTGCAATCGAAGAACCACTCGCTGCCGCCCGTGTCTCTCCAGGGTCAGGTTCTGTGGCGCGAGTTCTTCTACACTGTCGCGTCGGCCACGCCAAACTTCACCAGGATGGAGGGGAACCCGATCTGTCTGCAGATCCAGAGGCTCTGGTGAAATGGAGAACCGTAAGAGAAGCGCACGTTTAATGTATTTCCTGCTGCTTTTGTGTGGCGTCGGTAACGTTCTCTGGTCTCCATACTCCTCCTCAGGCTCCGACGGGCTTCCCCTGGATCGACGCCATCATGACCCAGCTGCGTCAGGAGGGCTGGATCCATCATCTGGCGCGGCACGCCGTGGCCTGTTTCCTGACACGTGGAGATCTCTGGATCAGCTGGGAGGAGGGCATGAAGGTACTTTGGGTCTTTCTGTGATTGAGTTACGTATACAGGAATTTCAGGTGTGTACGTTCTCAGGTGTTCGAGGAGCACCTGTTGGACGCAGACTACAGCATGAACGCCGGTAACTGGATGTGGTTATCCGCTAGCGCGTTCTTCCACAAATACACTAGGATCTTCTGCCCGGTGCGTTTCGGTCGTCGGACCGACCCTCAAGGACAGTATCTGAGGTATCACCAAACAAGCCACTTTAATTGTTCGATCTGCCACGCTAATATTCATGATGTTCTGTGTTTGATCTGCCACACCCACAGCTGTTTAAATTTCATGTAATTCTGTGTTCGGTCTGCCACGCCCACCGTTTAATATTCATGATGTTCTGTTGTTGATCTGCCACGCCCACCGTTTAATATTCATTATGTTCTGTTGTTGATCTGCCACACCCACCGTTTAATATTCATGATGTTATGTGTTCGATCTGCCACACCCACCGTTTAATATTCATGATGTTCTGTGTTCGATCTGCCAACACCCAACGCTGTTTAATATTCATGGCGTTCTGTGTTTGATCTGCAGGAAATACCTGCCCGTTCTGAAGAACTTGCAGTATATTTACGAGCCATGGAAGGCACCTGAAGACGTCCAGCTCAGCGCCGGCTGCATCATCGGTACGGAGAGATGCTAAACGCTCACTAACCCACCGCTGTGACTGTCTGAACCGGTTTAATATGTTCTGACCCATGTGTGTGCAGGTAAGGACTATCCTCGTCCCATGGTGTGCCACACAGAGGCCAGTCAGAGGAACCTGGGTATGATGTGTCACGTGCGCACGGAGCAGCAGAACACGGCGGAACTCACGCGAGGTAAAACGAAAACCTTACGACTTTCTCATGCGAAATGCAAATGTCGCAAAACACCATCAAAGTGTCATAAATGGTTTGATCTCCTCTCAGATGTGGCAGATGACCCAATGGAGGCGGGGCTTAAGCGTGAGCTGCAGGAGGAGGAGCCTCTGGAGGGGGCGGAGCAACACGGCAGGTCCAAACGTTTCAATGGTGATGTGGATCATAAGTCCCGCCCCCGCAGCTGGACACCAGAGACTCTACAGTTGAGTGGAGGGGTCATGTGACTCCAGAACCACCCAATTGGACCACCGTATCACTTCATCACGCTGCCCAGGAGTCTATCAGACACGTGTGGATGCCAGAATCATGTTGTACTAAAGAGAAGTGAGCATTTGAACTCTATTGTTTGGGGTCTGCACACTGTAATGCTCGTTTCGCTGGTGTTTTTCTGTGTTCATGAGAGAATCGCGTAGGTCAATTATGCAACTTAAAAGTCTTTTTGATGCAAATGTGTTTGTTGGTTATTAAATACATGTGCATGTCATGCAAAAGATCAAATAAATCATATAGAAATAAGCTTTGGCGTGTAAATAAATATCTAAATATTCATAATAGATCTGCATCTCCTCAGAGATTACATTGAAAATATGGGATTTAACCTCTATAAATTATTTTAACATGTAAAATAGGTTTCTAATAAATTATCATTCTAATAAAATATAATTACAAACACTCTCAAGAGAGACTTTTCTGTTTTTTTTGTTTTTTTTATTGTCATTTTGTTTGTGGATTAAATGTTCTAATATAAGCAAACATTCAAACAAAACTCCGAAATCATATTACAGTTATTAAATACATGAGTTTAATGTTTTTTTTTTATGTTGTGTTTGTGGTTTTGACTGACCAGTTCTTGTGACGCAAGATCCGGCCGTCGAATTAGCGAATCCTACTACAGCGAAGGCCGCGCTCATGAATATTAACCACGTTCCTTCATTATTTCCTCGGAGAGTCCAGTCACGTGGCACGATTATTATTCATAAATCGAGCCCATTTTCAAAACGCCTCCGTTTCAGCCAATCAATCGGGACTACCGCGCGACCGTCCCGTTACGTCATTAATATTCATGAGCCAGGCGTATTGATCCGCGTCCTGGCTCGAGCGCCACGTCGCACACCGGAGATCCGCGTCGCTGAAGTCATGGTGAAGGTGAGAAAAGCTGCGTCTCGTTTCATATGATAAACACTCAACGAGAGGAACTTTCCTGCTTTTGTTTCTGTGCATGCTTCAGAAATATCATTTACAGTCACTCCGAGAGATGCACATGATTCCAGCAGAGAGCTTGAAAATTTAGTTTAATTAGTTATTAGTGTTAGGATAGTTTTCAGTTTTTACAATATGGGCACTTTAAGTATTTAGTTTTAGCATTATTTGTATATATTTTACTTTTTTCATAAATCGAGTCCATTTTCAAAACGCCTCCGTTTCAGCCAATCAATCGGGACTACCGCGCGAGCGTCCCGTTACGTCATTAATATTCATGAGCCAGGCGTATTGATCCGCGTCCTGGCTCGAGCGCCACGTCGCACACCGGAGATCCGCGTCGCTGAAGTCATGGTGAAGGTGAGAAAAGCTGCGTCTCGTTTCATATGATAAACACTCAACGAGAGGAACTTTCCTGCTTTTGTTTCTGTGCATGCTTCAGAAATATCATTTACAGTCACTCCGAGAGATGCACATGATTCCAGCAGAGAGCTTGAAAATTTAGTTTAATTAGTTATTAGTGTTAGGATAGTTTTCAGTTTTTACAATATGGGCACTTTAAGTATTTAGTTTTAGCATTATTTGTATATATTTTACTTTTTTGTAAAACAAAAGTATATACCATATATTGTAATTACACACACTATTTGCAATATATTTACAACTTTGCAATATATTTCTTCTAGCTTTCTGCTTTATATATTACGTTACCTGTTTAATTAGTTATTATGGCAATATTTTCAGAATGTCTTTACAATATGGTCACTTTTCTCATATTCTTTATACATATTTACTTTTAACATACATTTGTAAATATATATTCATTTTACATTTTTTGTACAAAAAAAACGTGTGTGTGTGTGTGTGTGTGTGTGTGTGTGTGAGAGAGAGTGAGT